CGGGGTTGATTTGCCCTCCGGGGTGAAGGGGAGGGTGGATTTCGGTTCGGATTCTGCAGGGACAGCCCCCTCCCTTCCCCGCCCCACGGCGTTCGGGTCTGCAGGCGCCTTCTCTGCAGCTGTCAGGGCTAAAAATGAACCGTGATCACCGGGAGCGAAGGCCTGGAGCCATCGCTCCTGAGCCATTTTAGTGGGGAATAGACCGAGCACCCTCAGAGTTGGACTTTTCGCCCAGGCGGGGAAGGACGGGAGAGGCGGCATCTCTCGTCTCAGTCTAGAATTACTGCTGCTTTTATCTTTGTTAACGTCCCACCCTAATGTGAAAGTCGTCAGGCTGAGCAGTCGTGGTGAACCTCAGCCCCAAACGCCAGGAGATTTCAGTTCCACCTCCTCGGAGCAGCTTGCCAGCCCGACAGGTTTCTGGCGAAGGATACGGTCAGGGGCAGCATCAGCTGCTGCAGATGATCTGTCCCGGCATTTTTTACGAGGGTTTGATCGAAAATTTCTGCCGGTCTCGGTAGTTGCGCTTGTCTCATGGGGCGAAAGGCGTTTTCTGAGATAAGTGAATCCAAGTCTCAGCTGGTGACACTTTAAATTGTGATAAAAATAGATGAAGTGTCTCAGTACATTCTCTGTAAAGAGCGCTGCGCAGTGAGACATCCCGCTCACCCTGCAGGTAAAAGCGATGGTGAACGTGTGGTCCAGCGCCAGGAAACGCAAAAATAGTGATGTCATCGCGCTGCTGGCCGAGGTGGGTGAGCTGATGACAGACCCCCTTACCCGGGAAGTCAGAAATCGCCTTCGGGCGAGGGTATTTGGAACTGCAAAGGTAGTTTCTCCCTTGCCGGCCTCTGACTCAAGTTGTCCCCAAAGTGTGTCATAAATGCCGCCTCCTCGATTCTGAGGAAAACTCTGTGTGTGTTTAAATTCTGCAGGGTTGGTGCCAGAAATACCGGCTCCTTAAGGAAGGAAATTACTTACTCGGGTTATTTGCGCTTCCATTTTTTATTTTAATGGCCATGGGTGCAACACAAACATGGAGCAGACAGCAGGGAAAGATCGGTTTGATAAGGTCGCGCGTTTCTCTGTGGCTTGGGTCACGGAATGGTTGGCTAATCCTGCTGCTGTGTCCTCCAGCAAAAAACAAAGAATGGCCAACTTTGGTGTTCTTGATGGTGTTCAGCAGAAGCAAATTCCTCCATGCTACACTTCTTTCTTTCCTCTTTTCCTTCTAAAGGGGAAGGGGGCAAAAAGTTTTCAGACCTTCTTACTACATCAGAAGGAAAAAAAGAGAACAACAAGACACCAGCCCCGTTTCCTCCCCTTTGCATGTTACTTGTAACGTTACAGGTAAGACACCAGATTTTCTATTTCTCCTTGTTTTGTGCGTTTGAAATTCTGATCTTAGTGATGTGCACCTGTGCCTTATAGTTCCTTTTTCTAGTTCTTTTTTTTTTAATTTTTGATGGGTTTTATTGCTGTCTTCTAAAGGTAGGGGAAGGGGAGAAGAAGCGTTCAGACGGGGCGCTGTTAAGCCGCGCCTCGCAGAGTTTTGTGCTCCCCCGATCTCACCTACCCCAGGGACACGCAGCCACCCGGCTGGTCAGGAATCTCTGCGCACGGCTTCACGAGATTGACAGGCTGTCCTGCAGCTTCAGGTTTAGTAACATATTTTGCCAAGTTTGCACAAAGTCTGCTCGGGCATAGGAACATGCGCTGTCCTGCAGCGTTCATAAATATAACAAAAAAAAAAGTCCTTCAGAGGCACACGTGCTTTTCTGCGCACTCGTCCGTTCGATTCTGAGATTTCTTGGAGCAGGCACCAGGAGCCTCGGTATTCCCAGCCTGCCTGAAATTGTTTTGATATCTGCAGCGCTCTGCTTAATCAACACTTCAGATGCCATTCAGCTTGGAAGCTGTTTGTACCATGAGTGGTCTTTAATCTGCTTATTTACTTTCCTTTTTTTTTTTTGTGTCTTTTTGGGCGAGTTTACGTCTAATCTTGGATCATTCTGATTTTTTACCATATATGGCCAGGGCTCCTTTTCAAACTTTGCCAAAATGAAATGTGATGATTATAGAAAATGAGTTATGGAAGGGAACTTAGGAGAGCTGGTTGTTAATCCCTTTTGCTCATAAGTTGCCTTTTACCATGCCCAGGATCTCACACTACACAAATGCCAGCGCCCTTTGCCAGGGGGTCACTTGTGCCCAGTGGATGGTCTGAGAAGTTGGTGTTTAGAACTGGATTCTGTTCTTTTTCTTTCACTGTCTTGTTAGATATTTTCTGCCACATGTCAGAAGCACCACGTATGATGAATGTCTTGGCTTTAATGACGTACTTAAGACACCCTGAGGTCAAATGTGTGCCGGTCAGTTTGTGAAAAGTCTCTTCAGAGGGTTTAGGTCCCAGTGTCTCCTTCCTGAGTCCTGTTCCACAGAGGAGGGATAGCGATATTACGTTCCCTTTTCAAAGTGCTTAGAAGGTACAAGTGCTAAGTATTTTAATCCATTATGCAATCAATTGCCTATTTTTAGTACCTGAACCATTTTTAATGTTCTTTTTACAATGCAAATGTGCTTTTATTGAGGCTGACGGAACGTGCTTTTTCAAGCACTTAAGCCGCAGGGAACGGGGAGTGGGGATCTGTCGGGGGCTGGTTTAACATAACTCTTGTGAAAGGTGGTGTACAGCACGTAAAGATTAGAGAACTGCTGCAAGGCGCTTGTAAATTAAGTGGTGAGAGTTCTCTAAAAATCCCAGTAGGTGAAAAACATTTTAAATGCGAATGATAGACTAGCTCTGTTAACGATGTATTTGTCCCCTCCTTTCCAGTAGGGTCGAGCACCTGCAACTGGGACAGCCATGGAGAAGAGTGGGAACATTCAGCTGGAGATTCCTGACTTCAGTAACTCTGTCCTGAGCCACCTGAACCAGTTACGCATGCAGGGTCGCCTTTGTGACATCGTGGTCAATGTGCAGGGCCAAGCTTTCCGCGCTCATAAGGTGGTGCTGGCTGCCAGCTCGCCCTACTTCCGCGACCACATGTCCTTGAACGAGATGAGCACCGTTTCCATTTCTGTCATCAAGAACCCTTCTGTTTTTGAGCAGCTCCTTTCCTTTTGTTACACCGGGAGGATATGTCTGCAGCTGGCTGACATCATCAGTTACCTAACGGCCGCCAGTTTCTTGCAGATGCAGCACATCATAGACAAATGCACGCAGATTCTCGAGGGAATTCATTTCAAAATTAACGTGGCAGAGGTGGAAGCAGAATTGAGCCAGACCAGGACAAAGCATCAGGAGAGACCGCCGGAGTCTCACCGGGTGACACCAAATCTAAACCGTTCTCTGAGCCCGCGTCACAGTGCCCCGAAGGGGAGTCGCTTGGGCCAGGTTAGCACGGTGCTGGACATTCGGGAACTCAGCCCACCCGAGGAGTCCACCAGCCCCCAGATAATTGAGCCAAGTTCAGATATGGAAAGCAGGGAGCCCATCCTACGGATTAACAGAGCGGGACAGTGGTACGTGGAGACGGGACTGGGAGACCGCGGGGGACGGAACGATGACGACGTCCGGCTGCTGGGAGGAGTACGTATTAAAACGGAGAACCTGGAGGAGTGGCTCCGGGCGGAGGACTAAGACAGCGCCGAGGAGGTCACTGCTATGGTGATTGATACCACGGGCCACGGATCGATGGGCCAAGAGGCTTACGCCTTAGGGTCCTCCGGGGCCAAAGTGGTCAGGCCGACCAGCAGTGAGATCGACAGGTGAGATTTCTTTTACTTAATCACTGACCTTGGCCCTAAGAGGACGTTGTGCAAGGTTTTCTCTTGGCTGGGCACGTTTCCCTCTTTTATTTCCTGTGGCCATCTTAAGCATAAGCACTGAAAGACTTTTTTTCCTGCTGTTAGGAAGTGCATCAGGTTTGGGCTGTAGTCGTTGGGCTGGGTAGTGACCAGACCAGGATCTCCCGGTACAGGCTAGCTTGTGAAATTAAATACTAGCACTTAGAGGTGTGTAGGTTGGAATCTTTACCTCTCGGTGTTCCAACTGAGGCGGGATTTTTGTCTACAGATGTTTAGTTCAGCCTCAGTAGATACCAGGCTCAGCATCAGCACTAACGAGGTCACGTACAATGTGTGTGTTATGCAAAGTGTCATTGGATGCCTTCTGGCCTGAAAATCTGGGGGTGGTTCTGCCTGAGGAACAAGCCGGTCCCCAGCTGTAGGTCAAGAGGAAATTTGCCTTCCTGGTGGTCCAGGATAGCGGTGGGTCATGGGTTTACATCTTCTGAGGCAGTTGAAGTGGGGAGCCCATTGGCCTCCACAGTCGTTTTGATTTGTGTGAAAGAGCAGAACAACTTTATTGAAAATAGGTGGTGAAATCTGCTGTGTTTTGATTCTCCATCTATCTGCTTCCCTCCCACTCCAGCATTTGTTTTCTCGCCCTTAGCTCAGGCCAAAGAACGGATCCGATAAAGGGCACATCTGTTATATTTGGGGGGTTTCCTTTCACATCTGCCTCCCTATAGCTCAATCCTGCTGGTCGCAAGGGGCAGCAGCTTCCTGGAAGCCATGGATATTCTGTCACTTTTTGCTTCATAAATCAGTTGGTGGGAATGATCTTGAGCTGGCCCTTATCCTTTCCTAGTTCCTTAATTCTTTTCCACGAATCAGCTAGCCTTGAGCATCCATTTTTGCGCTGCACTCAATATCCATCACACCACCATTGTTTCACACTCGGAAAGGGCAGGAGGGCGAGGGTGGTGAATGACAGATGCCCTTAGAGAAATAGTTTCTTCCTCTGTCGTGCAGTTCCCGAGTCACTGAGCCCGTATCGGTTACTTGCACTAGGAACCGAAAAGCTCTCTGTTACTGGACTGGAAGCCAGATGACTCAGTTTTATTTTTCAGATGTTAAGACTGAAACCACAGACCAGTGTGACTTGGTTTTTCCTTTATACTTGCACTGTTCCGCCTCTTGTGTGTTACCTGGTGAGGATGAAGAGATGCTGCACAGGTGCTTCTATTGCTCACCCGTTGTTCTAAACACCATAGTGACCTGATGCCCATTAAAAACTCCGTTTACACTCTTCCCCCACCCCACAGATTTAGCCCTTCTGGCAGCATGGTTGCTGTGACTGAGCGGTACAGATCAAAAAGCGAGTCTCCCGGGCGGATGGATGAGCCCAAGCAGCCCAGTTCCCAGGTAGGCAGATCAAGAAGTTTGCAAGTAAATGTTGGCATTGAAGGTGAAGGGGGTTGTGTTGTGATGAAGTGTGTAATATTTTGTATTTCCAGGCAATACTGTTTGTGAAACAAGGACCTTTTACTGTTGCAAAGGCTTTAGTTGCTCACACCGAGAACGTTACGCCGTCGGTTTATGAGTTAAACACTTATTTTGGCCGTCGTTTGGGATTTTGGCCAGATACCTGGAAAACAGGAGATGTTTCTCTTGTTGTCTGAGGGCATAAATATCAGCCCTCATTCTGGGCAGGCCACCAGCTCCTGAGGAGAAACAACATTTGCCTCCAGAGTTGGATCTGCCCTGAAACACTGACAGCAAATGCCTGAGCTGAGGGAGGAGGTGTTAGTTGGCTTCTGTGGAAGGCCGAGGGGTGACAACAGCTGAACCTTCCCAAGCTGGTGCCAAAAACCATTCCAAAGAGCCCTCGAGGCACTACACCAGTAAACCATGGAGGGTCAAAGGACTGTGGATTTGTCCGCAAGGGACTGTGTTGCATAGCGGCATTTGCAATGTAAAGCCGCTCTGAATTCTCTGCTTTCTGGGGGTACGGGCACAGTTTTGGGGTAAGAGGGAGAGATATGCAGAAATACGGGAGAGCAGTGGGTTGTAGGGTGCAGCAAAGTGGGACCTGGTGGTAATACCTGTGCCTAATCATTTTGCTCTGAATTCTTTTGTTGTTGAGTGTTGCTGTGCCAATGTAGCGTGTGTATCACCCAGCACTGTGTAGGATGACTCTCCTGTGCCTGGCAGATTATTACTACGTTGGTTCGTAATCAAATGACCTTGCTGGAGGACGGTGAGGAGTTCCTGTGCTTGGTAACTTTGCACTTGAGTAAGACTCAGGTGGAACAAGGGGAAAAAAGAAAATCACGATTGCTGTCTGCTAACTGCAATACGCTTCCATGAAACAAAAGATACCTTTTTGTTCCTACTTTGCCAAAGCTTTGCTTTGTGTCCTCAGAATACATCTAGAAAATTTCAGGTCAAACTAACCCTCCGGGGCAAATGTGACATACAAAGCTATTTTAGGTCTACGTACAGAAAAGCTGCTATTATTTCTTCGTTGTGAGATGACCTCAGACATAAAACCATCAGCTACCACGTACATGGGGAAGCACCATCACCTTCCACTCTCCTGGTATTGCCGTATCGATGCTAAAAATAGCCTGCCTGCGATCCCTACCCGGTGGCAGTGGTAGAGTGGAAAGGAAGCACCGTAGCTTTCTGCATCTCCTGTAGTCCTGAGCGGCTGACCAAGGCTTGCGCAGCCAGGTTCAACAGCACCTGCCACAGCGACGCTGCTGCTCACGCGTTTGCAGCCCTGGTCGCTGGAGGAGAAGCCCTCCTGCTCTTACAGTGGTTGTTGATCTGTGTGTGGCATTGGGAGTGCAGATACCGCATCCTGCAGCCCCGAGGCGTTCAGGACACTGCCTGTTTGTGCTCGTTCTGAATAAGGTGGCCAGAAGCATCAGTCCTAGAGCCCAAGCTTGTGGTTCAGGGTTACCCTTGGCTGTTCCACCTTTCCAGCTTTGGAAAATAACGAGGAGCCGGCTGGTCCTTGCTGTGTGACTCGGGCCGGGCTGCTAGCTCTTTGTGCTGCAGATCCTCCCCTGCAGCGCCGTGGGGCTGGGCTGGGTTACGGAGCCCTTTAGGCAGATGTGATTCATTATGAAATGAATCCCGAATGACACCTGAATAAACACCTGTGTAAAATGACACCTGAAGAGTTTCAGATATGATTTTGTAGTTTGTTCCACCTTCGTTTTACTGCAAGCTCGTCAGTTGGCTTCAATTTTTAAATTTTACTAAGTAGATTAGGACGTGGTATGCACTATTTTAATCAAACTGGCCCAAGTTTTTAAAAAATATTGATGTGTTTAATGCACAATTCAGTCGGTGGCTAAGGGCTCTCCTGACCAGGGCTGTCTTTTCTTCCGTGGGTCTAACCAGTGACTTGGCAGAAGAGGCTGCCTTAGCAGAGGTTTCTAATTGATTGCTCATTTGTCGTCAGCCCCAAGGCTCCCGTTAAGCACTTAAATGTGTGCTTGAGGTTGAAGACATTAGTGCTGCTGATTTCGAGGTTTGGCGCACGCTTCGGTGTTTTACTGGCTGGACCGGGGCCTGGTCTTCTTTCCTGCAGTTTGTTTTAGGCTGCTTGTTATTTAAATCTCCGTTGCTTCCTTCTTCACAGGGGGAGGAATCGGCCATGCTCGGAGTGAGCGGTTACGTGGAATATCTCCGGGAGCAGGAGGTTTCGGAGCGCTGGTTCCGCTACAACCCACGGCTCACTTGCATTTACTGCGCCAAATCCTTCAACCAGAAAGGCAGCCTGGACCGGCACATGCGTCTCCACATGGGCATCACGCCTTTTGTCTGCCGCATGTGCGGGAAGAAGTACACCCGGAAGGATCAGCTGGAGTATCACATCCGCAAGCACACGGGCAACAAGCCCTTCCATTGCCACGTCTGCGGCAAAAGCTTCCCGTTCCAGGCCATCCTCAACCAGCACTTTCGCAAGAACCACCCCGGCTGTATGCCTCTGGAGGGGCCTCACAGCATCTCCCCCGAGACCACCGTCACGTCCCGGGGGCAGGCGGAGGAAGAATCGCCTCCGCAGGAGGAGGCCATGGCCGTGGGGGAGACGGCACAGGGATCTGTGTCCACGACTGGGCCAGATTGAAACACGGCTGCAAGAGTCCGGGGAGAAGGGACCGTCTTCCCATTTTTGGCTCTCAAGAGTCAGTTCCATGCCGGCAGGGTGGAAAAAACAATGCCACCACTGGACAGAAAGAAGCTCCCAAGATGTTGCCAAAATATAGAAATATCTTTCTCTCTCTCTCTTCCTTTCTCTCACACACCCACACACACGCACGTAGAGTGTTAAAAGTTTTTCTCCCTTATTCCTCCTCCTCTTGGAGAAAAACAAAACAACTGTGTCAATCAACTTCTTATTCAGGGATCGACAGGATTTTGAATTTTTTTAATGTTCCGTAGTTATCTGGGACGAGCAGCCATTTGTATTTCTTGACGGCGTTTTGGCCCAGCAGCTAGGTCCCGCCGGCGGTGCCGGCCCTCAGCCAAGCAGAGCCGCTGAGCCGAACGCGCGGGGCTGCCCCTCGCCATATCTGCTGGTCCAGCTCGAGGGGAGAGCAGGGACGAGGCGCTCTCGCCTTCCTCCCTTCCCCAGGTAGTTGCCACGTTAAAGAAAACAAAAAGACTGTCCGGGTGGAACCTGCCTTGCCCAAGTGTATTTAGCCCTGTCTTATTTTTGGTGTGTCTCTTTTTACGTTTTTACTTTAACTATTGCTTTAGGGCTTTTGGTTTGCCCGTTCCAGGCGCGTGGCCTGAGCGCCCCTGGCTAAAAGCGGGCACGGCTATGAAGTGGTGTTCTAGAGGTCAGCAAAATCTGAAGCGCTTCGGCTACGGACAGTGAAATCTAGCAGCTGTGAGGTTTGCGTTAGGCTCTGACGCGTTGGGAGAAGGGCCGGAGGGGCCTTTCGGAGGAGGTTGCCCTTTGCCGTTGCTGATGCGGAGTGTTCAGGGTGCTCCGATGTCCCGATGCCGTGCTTCAGGTGTTGCTGAGCGTTAGGAGGAGTTTTTCCAGACTGGCTGAATTGTGGAGTTAGAGGCTGGCTACCAAAGTCGTCCTTCACCCCTACTCCCGCCTCGACACGCACTTAACCTTTTATAACAGCAATACGGTGTACTGAAATACTATCGTTCCAGCCGAGCAATCGAGGGTGGTTGCTTTTAAACATGTTTCTACAAACTGCTTTGATAACTTTTTTTATCGATGAAATGCAAAAAGAAAAGAAAACCCTACTTTATTTCCTCGTAACAGTCCAGGAATCTTAAAAGTGAATGGTTCCTAGAGCAATCACAACTCTGTCCCCTTGCATGGACTTAAACTTTTGTATTCTAAGCAGCTCGGATGTTTAGAGAAAGTTTAGCAAATCCGGAGAGACATGCCTGCGTTGTGTATTGTAGGTGTTTGCACGTGCTTACGTGTTTCATAAACGGAAGAGCATGGGACAGGTAGATAAGTGCAAATATCTTGACATCTTTTGAAGAAGTCTTTTTAAAAAAATATGCAATACTTTAAGAGTTTTCTCTGGTTCTGATGCTGAGTTCGTGACAGAGGGGGAAAATGAACGACAGGTTGCACAGATTAGGTTCAGGAGAGGACACTTGGTTGCAGGAGTTCTCTTGAGGAGGTGTAACGTGTACAGTAAGGGAGGATGAAGTTCTGATCCTTGTGGGGATGGGAGGAACAAGGAGACACTGAAGAAATACCCTTCGTCTGGCTTTGGCAAAGCGAGCTGGGCGAGCAGTTGGAGCTTGGTGGGCAGGAGACTTACCAAGAGAAAGTGAAGCGTGCCCTGCGGTCTGACTGCACAGCTCGGGGCACACGGAAGCAGCTCCAGCCCTCGCTTGCCACATCTGCAAATTGGGACTCAGGATCACTTTTCTGCCCTTTTCGAGGGAAAAATTTGGAGAAGGGTAATGTATTCACGCCTTGCTTTATATATCTCTTCCGTTGTAAGTGAGGGGTCTCACTGTTCCTCCCATGTCGCCCTCAAAAAGCTGATATGGCTCTAATGTTGGTTTCATTGTTTTGGGTTTTTTTTTGTGGTGGGGGAGAAGGGAAGGACCTAGTGCTGGGATCGCGTGTTACGGGGAGGTGCTCCTAAGAGAGGAACTTTTGCGAGTGTTCTGAGCCAGGCACCTGCAAAGCATAATTTCACTGATCATTTCAAACAGGAAAACTGATGTTTCACCTCCATTTTCCTTCTGTCCCTTCTTCCTCCTCTCCTGTCAAGTGCATCGTCACACAGGGAAGGATTTTCTAAGCGGCCACTCGAGGGACCAGCCCCACTGGGTTTCCTGTCGAAGGTCAAACACGATTGTACCGAAACAGTAAGGTTGCCAGAGAGCAGTCGCAGAAGATGAGAGATAAGAGGGTGGCTAAGGTAGGTTTCGTTGCAATCGAGGTGCGGGGAGGAGCGGAGATGTGCAGAGGATGCTGCTTTAGTCATAGCTTTTGAAGTTACCAAAAATGAAAAAAAGTGGAAAACTTTGAAATCCTATCCTGTTCACACTAGAGAGCATCAAAAGTTACTTTTAGTTGCTTAAAAGATTTTTAAGTGTTTTAAAATAGAACTTTTAAAAGAATACTACCAAACTATAAAAACATAAAATTATTTATATACATATATTATATATAAATATAG